ATAACTGGGCTCGGCGACCAGCTCTAGTCAAAGGGTGGAGCATAAGAACAGGGAGGCTATTTGATCCCTGCTCTCAGGAGTTGAGAGTCTAGCTGGGAACAAAACCCCATCTAATCCATGTGTGCCTCCATCAGTGATATGTCCTCAGAGGGGGTGAATGGCAGCTGTCCTTGGGGTTCCCTAGGAAGTGGTCATTTCTGCCTGCTGGCAGCATGTGCAGAAGGCAAGACACTGGATGTTATTTCACCAGCTGGGCAAGGATGGGAGGGCATTCTGTGCAGCAAATGTGGAGGCCTAGATGCATGGACTTCGGGGCAAGCTGCAAACAAATCTGTATGTTTGGAGGAAGATGAGCCTAGATATGTAGTTAGGGTCAGATGACTAAGCCTTGCAAACTATGCAAAGGTGTGACGCTTCATCTGTAGGCTAACAAAAGCCCTCGTTACCTAGTGGTCTCGTAGAAAGATCACAGCCAGTGTTTTATTCACTGTTCGTTATGTACACCAGAGACAGTGCCAGGCATTTCCACCCTTGTGCCTCAGCCTCAGACCTGCGTTTCAGATAGTAACAGGGTGGGCAGTGGTGAAGATGTATTGGGGAGCACGACTGGGGGAGGAAGGTTAGTTGCAATTGTTAGAAACCAGGACATGGTGCTGAATGTGGGATGGAAAGGAGGAGACACGTTTGATATTGAAGAGAAAGTTGATAGGACTGAGAATGTGAGAGGAATTCGGACCACTGCTCTACCGGCTTGGGTGAATGTTGCCGGTGGGACCGTTGCCTGGGAAAGTATAGGGGACCCCGGTGCTAACTTGCATCTCCTCGTTAAACATCCTGTGACACACTTTTGTTGAATTACAAGACACAGGGTTTTGAATCTTGAATTCCCTCATGTGTGGTGCTGGATGTTGGCTGCCTGCACTCCAGATCCCTGCAGTGGATTGCTCACTCAGCCTCTCTAGGCATAGGTGTTCTTATCTGCAAGGGGAGGGCAGTGCTGCCCCGAGGGAGGCTGGTGACGAGGGAATGATGCATGAATTGGAACAATCAGGCGGAGTGCCTGGTGTTTACTGACCTTTACCACGTGGGGTCAGTATCTCTACAGTGGAGTTTTCTTTAAACAGTAACAACACAGGTTCAGTGATGTACATATTGCAATGTTCCATGTAGAAGGAAATGTGTCAAAAAATTAAAAGGTGGAGCAGAATAAAGATGTTCTCAGGAGAAAATGAGAAAAGAAGAAATTTTGATTTGTCGTTTAGTAGTATAGACCTGACATTTCCCAAAAACCGTCTCTGTGCCATATTCTAGACACGCCTGGGAGTGCTGCAGGCATCGTTCATAACCGGGGAGATGTGCATACATGGGCACGTGCAGTCTTTTTATGGTTGACCTGTGTGGTTTTCACTGTAGGACCCCAAGTCAAATTTGATCCAGCAGTGGCTGTCAGAAGAAAATGATCTTGGAGTCATTTCCAAAACTTTTCAGTTATCTTCCCATGCCCGGGGGCTTGCTGTGGATGTGGTCCGGCGCCTGCGGTAGCGCCGTGCAGAGACCCCGCGCCACCCAAGGGTGTGGGGTGCTGTCCAGCGTCTCAGGCATGAGGCCTAACGGCTGTGGCAGGGGCACTGCTGGCACTGCGCGAGGCTGTCCTGTGCGCGTCCCCGCAGATGCCCGTTTTCAAACGTTGGGCTCGCTGGGCGCCGCCCCGCGCGCTTTTTCATGTGCTCGGTGGGGACCCCTGGTGCCTCTGCGTTCTTGGCCTCCTGTTGGTGACAGGCCATGGCCCAGGACCAGCTGGGGAAGCCAGAAGGGTCATGTCATTCACTCCCAGCGCTCCGGATCCTCCAGGGACACGATCCTCCCAGACTCCAGCCACGGTGCCCTTTGTCCCCGGGGCCGTGGCTCACCTGGGAGAGACGCACACCTCGCCAAAATAATACAGCCGCAGAGTACAATGCTCTTTCCCTGCACTTTAAAAGCCCTGGGAATTACTGCTTTAGTTTTGTCACGGTGACATTCGAAGCAGCATTTCGTTATTTTCATTTGCATTCCCTTAGTTATTTGACAGCATGTATTTATTAGCCATGTGTATTTCCTCGTCTGTGGTTGAGCCTCCCACACACCCTGCTGGCGAGGGCACAGTGCAAACGCCTGTGAGGACCCTGCCTGGCTGGGAGCTCGCCAGCACCGGTGACCTGCTCAGGCCTGACCTGCTTTTGGTCTTTGGTTTTAACAATTAGTTTCTGGCTTCCTAGACCACTGCCTACCTCACTCTCAGCACTGTGCTCCCCTGACATCTACATTCCCTTCTACTCAGCGGGAGAAGTTGCTTCTGGCTTCATAACTGGGCTCGGCGACCAGCTCTAGTCAAAGGGTGGAGCATAAGAACAGGGAGGCTATTTGATCCCTGCTCTCAGGAGTTGAGAGTCTAGCTGGGAACAAAACCCCATCTAATCCATGTGTGCCTCCATCAGTGATATGTCCTCAGAGGGGGTGAATGGCAGCTGTCCTTGGGGTTCCCTAGGAAGTGGTCATTTCTGCCTGCTGGCAGCATGTACAGAAGGCAAGACACTGGATGTTATTTCACCAGCTGGGCAAGGATGGGAGGGCATTCTGTGCAGCAAATGTGGAGGCCTAGATGCATGGACTTCGGGGCAAGCTGCGAACAAATCTGTATGTTTGGAGGAAGATGAGCCTAGATATGTAGTTAGGGTCAGATGACTAAGCCTTGCAAACTATGCAAAGGTGTGACGCTTCATCTGTAGGCTAACAAAAGCCCTCGTTACCTAGTGGTCTCGTAGAAAGATCACAGCCAGTGTTTTATTCACTGTTCGTTATGTACACCAGAGACAGTGCCAGGCATTTCCACCCTTGTGCCTCAGCCTCAGACCTGCGTTTCAGATAGTAACAGGGTGGGCAGTGGTGAAGATGTATTGGGGAGCACGACTGGGGGAGGAAGGTTAGTTGCAATTGTTAGAAACCAGGACATGGTGCTGGATGTGGGATGGAAAGGAGGAGACACGTTTGATATTGAAGAGAAAGTTGATAGGGCTGAGAATGTGAGAGGAATTCGGACCACTGCTCGACCGGCTTGGGTGAATGTTGCCAGTGGGACCGTTGCCTGGGACAGTATAGGGGACCCTGGTGCTAACTTGCATCTCCTCGTTAAACATCCTGTGACACACTTTTGTTGAATTACAAGACACAGGGTTTTGAATCTTGAATTCCCTCATGTGTGGTGCTGGATGTTGGCTGCCTGCACTCCAGATCCCTGCAGTGGATTGCTCACTCAACCTCTCTAGGCATCGTTGTTCTCATCTGCAAGGGGAGGGCAGTGCTGCCCCGAGGGAGGCTGGTGACGACGGAATGATGCATGAATTGGAACAATCAGGCGGAGTGCCTGGCGTATACTGACCTTTACCACGTGGGGTCAGTATCTCTACAGTGGAGTTTTCTTTAAACAGTAACAACACAGGTTCAGTGATGTACATATTGCAATGTTCCATGTAGAAGGAAATGTGTCAAAAAATTAAAAGGTGGAGCAGAATAAAGATGTTCTCAGGAGAAAATGAGAAAAGAAGAAATTTTGATTTGTCGTTTAGTAGTATAGACCTGACATTTCCCAAAAACCGTCTCTGTGCCATATTCTAGACACGCCTGGGAGTGCTGCAGGCATCGTTCATAACCGGGGAGATGTGCATACATGGGCACGTGCAGTCTTTTTATGGTTGACCTGTGTGGTTTTCACTGTAGGACCCCAAGTCAAATTTGATCCAGCAGTGGCTGTCAGAAGAAAATGATCTTGGAGTCATTTCCAAAACTTTTCAGTTATCTTCCCATCCAATACTTGGTGACTGGTCCATTCAAGTTCAAGTGAATGTGAGTATAAATATATTATTAGCATGAATATTGAAATTATTTAAATAGGTCAGGTGGGGAAATACCTCTCAAGTCATTTATTCAATGAACAGAAAAATACTCATCTGAACATCTAGACAATTAAAGTGGTTTATTTTTAATATACTGTGTGAATTGTTGGGTTAGGCTACATAATAACTAAAAATTAATTTTAGAGTGTGAATCTGGTGTTGTTTTCTACAGTATAAGGTTGGAAGGTTAAAACATTGCATGTCTTAGTATAAAGCTGATTAAGTAATAGTGTTTGTTTTATTCATTGCATACATTGAGTGTTTTAAACTACATGTAATGCATATAGAGCGGTTATTTGGCCAATTTTGTGTCTGGGAAGAAAACTCCCAGTGGGACTGGACTAACCTGCTTTGCCTCTGCTTGGAGAAGCACAGGCCCTCTGAACCGCCTCGCCAGCCATCTGGTGCCTGGTGCTTTTCCCCAGCAACCCCACCTGCTTCCTCTGTTTGCTGCCGACTCACTGGCTCTGGGACCTCGCAAGGCAGGGCCTCCCCTTCCTCCTCAGGGCCTCCCCTGCATCCCTGTGTGATGTTCGGAGGCCTCGCATATTTTCCCGTTTCTCCTTGGAATTTATTTACATGCATATAAAGCCATGAACAAGAGCTTAAGAAATACTCCTCTTAGAACAGGGCTTCTCGCTGTTGACGTTTGGACAAACACCCTTTGTTGCGGGCACCGCCCGGTGCCCTGTAGGATGTCCAGCAGCCCCCCTAGAGGCCCGTAACTGCTTCCCCTCCCCAAGTAGCGGCAGCCACAACTGCCCCTGGAGGAAATGCCCGCTCCCTCCTCTGTCGAGAACCCCCTTATGAGAAGGAGTGATCATTCATTAGCATGAGACCTGAGGCAAAATACCAGATATTTAATAAGTGAAAAAATTAATCAACGTCTTTCCTTTCCTAGCATTTCATTTCTTGGGGCCGCGTCCCCACAGCGGACCCAGCCCCCTTAGTCCGCACGTGTGTCTGGGCACCTGCATGAAGGTGCGGAGCACATGCGGCCTGTGGAGAGGCTGCGGCTCGCAGCTGGAGGGGGCAGGACGTGAGGGGGTGCAGGCGGGCGGGAGTCGGGGGGCCTGGGCTGGCTTACGGGGAGGTGCAGGGGGTGTCTGTGCGCCTGAAGAGAGAAAGGTCTGTGCGCAGGTGGGGAGAGAGGGGGACCTCACGAGTCGGGGGACTGGGGAGAAGCCCGGTGTGGCTGGGGCACGTGGGCAGTGACTGAGTGGAGGATCGGGGTGCATATGGGGAGTTCTAAGGAGTTGGGTTTATTCTCCATTCCCACTTTTTGATTTAACTATGAACTCTCGAGGAGTCGGTTGTCTGTCTGTCCATCTGTCTGTGCATCTATCCGTCCTCCATCAAGTGTGTGCTGAGGGCTTACAGTGCTCAGGGGATGCAAGGAAGCTGCTCGTGTGGAATCCCTGTCCTCAAAGGCCATCGTGGTGATATGGGCACTGTGACGGCCATTAATGACAAAGGGTGATAGAGAAACATGGGCGGTGTGACAGCAGAGGACGCACAGGTGCTGAGTCTCGAGGCCCGCCTGGTGCCTCCAAGGGTGGAGCCCCCCTCAGACCACTTGGGAAAAAAGAGGGATTTCTGTAAGGACAAGCCCCTCCGCGGTCTGCGCCCCCTCCCCGCGCTCCCGCCAGGCTCTGAGGTGTCTCTCGCCCAAGCCTGGCCTGGTTCCGCTGCTCATCCTCCCCCAGGCACTCCCGGGGCAGGGCCCCCTCGGTCAGGACCCGCTGCCGGTCCATTCGGAGGCCAGTGACCAGGCCGGGTCGGCTCAGCTGGGCGCAGCGTCCAGCAGGCTGATTGGTTCACTGGGTGGGGGGACGGGCCAAGTGCCTGGGAGAGAGGCAGATAGGAGAGCGGAGGAGGAGGAGGTCTGGAAAAGGTGGGATTGTAGGTTGGAAGATTTATTGGGTGTCTCCTGGAGGTTTGTGGACTTAACCTGTCATATTGCTTTGGTAGGAAAAAAAGATAAGGAAATTTAGGTGCTTAAAAAATTAAAACCATTTCCAAGCTCTCGCCCTGGCCCACTGTTTCAGCCTTGAGAGCTGCCCTTAGACGTGAACTCTATGCATTAGTCATATTCCATCACGTAGGTCTGTCTGTTCCTGGGCACGTCCCATGCTGTTCCCTCTGCCTGGAACACTGTTCTGTCACTCCAGCTTCTTGCTTTTGCCCTGCAGATATTGTCTGAAATGGCCTAATGCCTCTAGACCCTCCCACAGCCCTCTGCTTCCCTTGTCACTTGGCTCCTGTCACTCTTGGCTGGTGGCACCTAAAAGCGTAGTCTGTTTTGTGGGTCTTCACCCCCAGAATCTTGGGGACCTGGCTCAGTGGTTTGCACACAGGTAGAAGTTAATATGGATTAAGTGAACGTCTGAAGGCAACATGATAGTCATTTGTCTTGAACTAAATCTAATTTCCCCTTTCCCACATTCAGTAAAGCATCTTTGTCCGTTTGAAGACACCCATGTTGATCAGGTCCCTCCTTTTGAAGACAATGCGTGTTGACGAGTGTATTGACTTATTATTGCTGATATAGTCCCCCCCCCTTTTACTGAGGTATAATTGACATACACAATGTAATGATTTAATATATGTAAACATTGTGAAAGGATCTCCCTCAGGTGAGATAATGTTAAGACACAACCAAGGAAAAATAAGCTCCTTTATTTGGGGGTGGGTGGGTGAAAGCATCCTTAAGGGCCACCAGGGGTCAGTATAATCAAAGAAATGTTGTGAGATGCAAAACCAGCCCCAGCCCGGTTCTCTGGTTTTTATTTTTCCTTATCTCTGCAGCATTCAGGACTGTTAAGTGCTTATTATTAAACTTTCAGCAGTGAATACTGGTGGAAGCATGTGGTATTTAAATTGCCCGCTATTACAGACTACATTTTTCTTTTCTTAGGGCAATGACCGCTGTCAGTATAAATCTCAGGGAGAGGAAAATACTTTTGGGAGGTGTTTTGAAATCCCATTTTATTTCCAGAAAACATGGTGTGATCCTAGTGTTACTCCTGAAAAGCATTTTATTAAAAAATTCAGGACCCGTCAGAGCTTTGATTGTTGTGACTGTACAGGTAAGAAGAGTGGCTTTTCTGAATCACCCTTTTTACGAGGTCAGGAAAAGGACCCTTTAGGTAAAGCACACTTGGTGGGCATTGTGGCATTTCTACAATGGAAACGTGTACCTTCATAGAATGAGTGTGAGAAGTCATTTAATATACTGATAACCTTTCTGGATTACTTAAATTGCTTTTGACCTTCTAATATTGCTTTTCACCTTCAGGAATTTTCATGAGTAACAATTTTGATCTAGTAAAATTTCTAGGTTTTTATTCTTGCTCTTTATCTCCTTTATTGTTCATTATGGGGGAGTACAATAAGTTCTCCACATATTGACAGACATGTGTGTTTTGCAATGCTTGTTTAAATTGCAAAGCAACTCTCAATGACTATTGTTTTTTCAGCCTTTTTAAAGCTCCTAGGATTTAGTAGGAACACTGACTTTGTGTGCTACTTGTGCATAAACTTAATTTGCATGCCTGCCCTAAATGGGATCATTCTTGGCTGCTTTGGGGACTGGACTTCCTCTCTTGAGAATAATCGCTCTCCTCTCTCTCCAGCACTTGATCCCCTCTGTCCTTTCCTGAGGTTATCTCTCCCTCAGCTTCCTGGGCACCACACCCTCCCCTCCGAGGGAAGAGGTTATCTTAGCTGAAGCACCTCTCCACAGAAGTGTGCCTTACGTACCTCATGTCCGTTACAGGAAAGTGGGGAAACGGGCTCCGATCTGGAGCTCATCTGACAAGACACCTTGGGAAGTAACTGGTATTCAGACACGTTATCTTGTCTGAAAACTTGGGCATTGCTTGTGTTTTCACTTAATGTAGCACTTCTCTGGGTGTCTGTGTCTTGCCCGGATCCTGGACTCCCAGAGAGCTGCAGATGTGTTTTTCTTTGGTTCAGTTTCTTTTTTTTTATGTGATAAAGTACATACAACATGAAATTTACTCTCTTAACAATGTTAAGTGTACAGTTCAGGGTATTAAATACATTCACGCCGTTGTGCAACCGTCACCCCCATCCATCTCCAGACCTCGTTCCATCTTGCAAAACTGAAATTCTGTGCCCCTTAAATAGTAACTCCCCATTCCTCACCCCCTGTCCCCCTGAGCCCCTGGCAACCACCATTCTGCTCTCCAACTCTGGTTTTGAGTACTCACACCGCCTGTAAGTGGAGTCACGCAGTTGTTGTCTTTTTGTGACTGGCTTATCTCACTTAGCGTCATGCCCTCAGGGCTCATCTGTGTTGTGGCATATGTCACAATTTCCTTCTTTTTGAAGCTGAATAATATTCCACTCTATGTATTTACCAGATTTAGTTGCAAATGTTTCTTGCATTTATACTTCAAAAATTGTATTCCAGTTACTGGAAGACAACTTGAGAAGTTCTTTAAAAGAAAGGCTAATGTCTTAACGTCAGACTCCACATGCCGGGAGGGATGTGCCCCGCCAGCCCTCTCCCTGTGGCAGCCCAGACCCAAGCTTGGTGCTCGTGTTCCTCCAAGATCCTGAAGGGACAGCCGAGTCCTTAAGAGGGTCCTCCTCACTTAATCGCAGCCGCTCTTGCTGCTGAGTTTACAGCCCAAGGCTTTAGTCGCTAGAACTTATCAGCATGTGCCTAAGAACCGGCTGATTTAGGAGCTCGTTCATGATGCAGAGCCCAGGCCCCACCCCCAGATCATGCATTCCTAGCGCTGGCCCGGGAAAGTATGTCTGTTTCCTGGACCACATTTTGAGAAGTGTGGACATGTGTCCACAGCTGGGCATCTTTAGTTTCTATATGTTCTGCTGAGAGGAGGTGCTGGGTAGTGGAAAAGGTGTGGACTGGGAGACAGGCCCCCTGATTTGATCTTTGATTCCCTAGTGGTGAGACTG